GCACCCTCAGCTCTCTGGCACTTTCTTTCAGTTGGGTTCTCAACCCCCAGGGTTGCGAACCAGCTCGCTGTGAATTGACTCAAAATACTGTTCTCCTAATGCTGCGGGTGTCTTCAGAGAGCGCGATCGCGTCATGGATTCAGTATCTTCAGTTTTCCGAGAATCCCAGAACCGGCCCGTGCAGCTTGCTGCTTCCCGAAGAACCATTCTCGAGCCCCATCTCGGCTCGAACAATGATTCTCCTCAGTGCCCTTGAGCCTGAAATCTCTTGATTCTCTGCGAAGAAGACCCTGATTGCTTCATCTCCCCAAACGTGAAGCCATGCCCTGTCCCTTATAAGGAAGAATAATGTGATTGCTGGGGCTTTTCGTGAAGCCATGCCCTATCTCCCAACAAAACAGGTGCGAGCAGAGTGCCTGGTGCAGCCGGAGGACTTCGCCGGCCGAGCGGCCAAGCGCAACTCGGCCCGCATCAGAAAGGCTCCGGGCGTCCCGAGCTTTTTTAACCCCTAAACCCGAACCCTAAACCCTAAAACCCCCCAGACAGGTGGCCAAAAAACCCTAGAACAACTTAGAGCCACACTTGAAACCCTAAGCCCTGTAAACCCTACAGACCCAAGCAGCTGAGGCGAAGAAGAGATCCGATTGCTCAAAGAGGCGCAGGAGATCCTGCAGGCAGCCAAGCGCTGTGAGACTTCGGGGCCTGTGCATCTGAGTGTACCTGCAACCCCCCGACTACCCTCTCATAAAGGGTTTCTTTGTGACCCAACTAGGGCAGTTTGGGGGGTGCTGGCATAGCCGGTCGAAGCCTAAATCCTCAAGCGCTGTTCACCTTTCAGCTCTGAGCTTCTTTGACTTCATGTTGAGGACCCGTGCAACAACTGCCACGCCGTGCTCTCTCTCTAGCCGCCAGGGGGCTAGCATGTGCGACAGATTCTGCAAAACAACTAATCCGCAATGAGCAGTGGCGGAGTTTGTTTGGGCATCTGCCAGGAGCGTGACGACTGAGTGGCTGGCTGCGACTTGCGAGTACTTAACGCTGAGGATTCTGGATTTGGCATCTTGGTGCTGCATCTCTTGGACGTGGGAATGCTTAAGGTCTTAGTCATTAGTCGAAAAACACATGGGGGGTCCGAAGCTTCTCCGGTAGGATATCGTCAACCGGGGCCCCAGATGCATGCCATGCATGGGCTAAGCCCTACATGCAGGCTCTGCAAGAGTTGCTACTCCAGGCTCGACAGGAAAGAGCTCCGAGTTCGAGTTGAGTTCCTAACTCGACGGCTTTTCCCGCATTTGTTAACGCAGGGAGAGCCCCCCCAGTGGTGAAACACATGCTTGTCATGGTACTGATTCCTATGGCTAGTTCTTGTTGTGGCTATAGCGGCTATAGTTCCTGACTACCCCTCTCATCACTACAACTTTTTATACTTTCAAGGCGTCGCCGGCGGGGTTATGAGAAAAGAGTCGGGTCATCTTCCCGCGAATTAGGGCTTAGGGTTCACAGTAGGGCCTCCGCAGCCAACACATCACCACTTGACTGGATCCCCTCATGTAGGGAAGACCCCATATCCTCCAGCAGCGCAGGATACGCATCCCAACCTTTAGTTTAAATTTAGCTTTGAGGTTTCGGGGCAGAGCCCCACACACACATGCCCAAGCCGTCCTCTTGAAGCGTCTCATCTTTGCCAGAAATCCAGAAGGAGAGCCGCGCATGCACGCGTAGTGGGCCCAGCGAGTTATATTGCATAACTACATGTGTATCTATAGATATATATATATACACATATATATATATATGTACATAAGACAGGTCAAGAATTGCAGCCGCCAAGAGCCGAAGGACATTCATGTCATGAGCCCAAAAAATGCCGTTGGAACCACTCCGTAACAACACTAAATCCCGAAATACCTCAGCCGCATAAACCACTAAAAGGCTGAGGCGTCATCCTTGCATCTTAGAGGGAAATCCCCAGTGTGTCCAACATATTTGGGTTCCATTCGAATTACTTTTGGTGCCAATTTGAGGTTGGTGTCGTATGGGGCTACCGCGGGATATCTTCTGGATCCTGCAATTGAGCATACACAGGGCTCCTTTTCAAATATTGGTGAGTGTGTGCAGAGTTGGGTGTTCTTTTGGGCCGGGAGGGGGTGTGATAAACCATACTTCAGTCATATGGTGTCTACTTGGAGTCTAGTTTAGGGGTCCCCGCCGATTTTCGTAAACCCCCATATGGCAAGCCTGCCAGCCGGGCCTGGGATGCTGGACGGCACAGTTCGCCTCTGGCTTCTCCGATTGCGACGATGCGAGAGGCCTGCCGTGATTCGCCTTTCTGTCTACTGTGTGGGGGTCCTCATCCCATTGATTGTCTGGGGGTTGGTGGTGAGCTCCCAAGAAGACGAGTTTGATATTCTGACGTTGGGCAAAGCGAGCAGGTGGATGGACGGAAAGGTCCCTCCCCTGCCGTATGGAAGTGATCTCCATGGAGACTCGGTGCTTCGCGCTTCTGTTCGCCGCGCTCTGGGTAGTGGCCCAGGTGGTGAGATCGAAACCTGGACCAAAATTGTTGGGGGCGGAGCGATCAACGTTCTTTACCGCGTGACACTCCGAAGTGGGCAGAGCGTGATCGTAAAGCTTGGGTCGCCATGGTGGCGTGGGTGCGGCAAAACTGTTGGTGAGGCGGAGGTTATGCGCTATGTGGCAAAGTACACGACGATTCCTGTGCCTCGGGTTCTGGCTGCCCTTCCGGCGGTTCACGGCAGATTCGACACTGCGGTCCACCCCGAAACAAAGGCGCATGGCGGAGAAGGGCTGGGGAACCTCGAGCTGCCAGAGGTGATGGTGATGGCAGTTGCACCCGGCCAGAAGCTGAAGGATGTTCTTGCGCGACCACTGAGCGAGGTCGGCCGAGATGTACGGGAAAAGCTGATCACGCAGTGGGTTGGGGTCTTCAGGCAGTTGCGTGAGCTTCATTTCAACATGTACGGGAGCTTTGGCGCCGACATGCAGGTCGTGCCTTTGGCTACAAACGGTGGCTGCAGTATCCTTGGCCCAATGGCATCCTATGGCAAGTACGCAGCAGGAAAAGTGGCAATGTTCCTGCCTCTAATCGAGGGTGGCGCCTGCCGTGGCGATCGGTTCCAGAAGTACGTGCCACAGCTGAAATGTCTTGCTGATGAGATGGCTCGATACCCCGGGAACGCTGCACACGACGCCCTACGACCTGTGCTGCTGCACACAGACCTGTCGATCCGTAACATCCTCGTGGATCCGGATCCTGACAATCCACGCATCACGTCTGTGCTGGACTGGGAGTTTGCTGTTTCAGGGCCTGCTGAAGAGGAGTTCAGCTTTCCAGCAACACATGCAGGGCTGTCGACCGACGACCGCAAGGTGTTTGACAGGGTCGCGCAAGCGCAGGGCGTGACGTTGCCTCGAGATGTGTTGTCGCGGGCAGATCACGTCAGTGCCTATTGGGCTATGATCGTCTTTTGCCACTCGCACGTGTGGCGTGACGATCGGCCGTCTGGTGACGTAACACACGAGGCGGAGGTGCGAGATGCGGAGAAGTTGCTGGACAGCATTCTAGAAAGGGCCAATTGCTCAACACAAGACCACCAGTTGCTGCCATAACAAAGGAGCATACTCATGCCATATGGCACGACAGCTTAGCCGGAAGACTCTTGCTGAGATCATTGCAAGACCCAACAAGGCTCATTGTGATTGTCACGGTTCTTTATGGAATACTTCATAAAGGAGTCAGAGTTGTCCAAGAAAGACATGTTCCCGCTATGACCGAGTTAAGATGAACAGCTATACACTATCATGTTGAAATTGCAAGTTCACTCAACATAGGGTGGATGATATGACGGGAGGGATCTGAGTACCATCTCGTATTTGTTTTTAGGCTCGCTCTTCCGGGACCTCGTCGTTGGCTGCTGTTGTCTCTTTCTGGGATTCCCGGCTGCGCTGGGGAGTTGGCTGTCTCAGAAGCATACGGGCTTGGTATTCTGGACAGATCTTAAGTGGAGTGAGGAGGGCGAAGGGGGAATGAGGCAAAGATGGGCTTCTTGAACGAGTAGGCCGAAACGTACAGATCTGTCTTAGACTTCACTTGATCCAAATACCCGAGTAGAGATTTCATGGCCAGGCGAAAGCACTCGCGTGAATATAATATGGACTTTGATGCCATCTTTACTTGTCAAGACGTAAATTCCTAAGTCTGAACGCGAATCCATGATCCCTTGGAATGCCACCAAGATGTCCGAGCAACTCACACTTTTAAGACCCTCTAGCTCTAGCCTAAAGCCCTCACAATTCTCGCCTGATGGCTGGTGCAGGAGGGACGGGAACCAAGGGAAGGGAGAAACGTCATCAAGGTTCGGACCTGCGTACACGAAACGAATGATCCGGCAGTTTTGCCGAGTGGCTTTGGGACATGCCTGCTGGCGAACGGATACTGGGCCGGGGCCACTGACTTGGCGACGCTGCTGAGTAGCGGCGCTAGTCGAAACACCAGGGTCCTTCTCTGAACAAGAGAGAGAGAGAGAGAGAGAGAGAGACAGAGAGAGAGAGGAGCTCAACAGGGTCTTTCGCGAACATGCTCAGTGACCAGCCACCTGCAAGGGAAGAACATGTCCTGCAGCACCAGCCGGGGCGCACGCCAATGGTTTCACAGGGGTGCGGGATGCAGCAGAAAGCCTCATAATTTTCCGCAAGACGACCTTCTGGGCCCCCCTCCGCAATGAAGCCCAACACAAAACGGAATCCTTCCTCAAACTCGTAGTCCTAAACCTGAACCACAAAGCGCGACCACACTGCGCCCTCAACCTTCCCGTGGGATGTTGCAGAATGTTGGGCTACCTTGCACGGTTGGGTATCTCTTGGTTGATGGTTGAGCAGTGCTTCGTGACTTCCGTGGCTGAGCACGGCCCAAGAGCATCGTTTCCGGGGCGCAGGGGCACCCTGGGGCTCCTTGGGGGCCCTTGAAGGCCTTGACTCAGATGGTGGCTCTGTGGTCTGCAGCTTTGGTGGCGGGGCTGGCCGCAGTAGCTGCGCTTATGCAAGCTCAGTACACGCATCTGAAGGAGATGGGAGGCTTCATGCGGATTGCAGGCATCTTGGCCTTTGCTGCGTGTGTGGCGGAGAATTCTTGCATCTCGTGGTACAAGTACTACCATTACTCCGACGAGTGGGGCATCTTTCTTGGCCACGTGCCACTTCACGTGGTGCTGATATGGCCACTCTTCATCCTGGGTGAGCACCGCTACTTGCGAAGCCTTTGCAACGATCTGAGGCTTCGCGCCCTGCTCTGTTTTGTGGACGTGGCCCTCTTGGCGAATCTGGTGGAGATCTACTGTGTGGCTGCGAAGCTGTGGTTCTGGAAGGAGAGCAACTGCTTGGGCGTACCGTGGATCGGAGTGCTCGGTTGGGCCCTCTTTGCTACGCCCGCTGTGCTACTGCTGTCCATCGAAGAAGCAAGGCCCAACACCAAAGTCACTCTTGGCATCACACTTGGCCTCACGCTGGTACTGTGCCTGGCGACGCTGCATGGGGGTCTGGTGCTGGTGTGGCAGCTGGGCCTTCTTTTCAACCTTCGGCTGGGCTCCGTGAGGCCACAAACAGAGGCATTGGCCATCAGTTTGATCCAGCTGCTTTACCACCTGGCCACACGGCGCCTGCCGCGCCCCCAGCTCCGACAGGAGCTGCCCAGACTCCTGGCATGTGGCATCTTGGCCGCTCTGCTGCTCAAGGGTCGACCCCTCCCGATCTGGGAGCTGCTGCTCGTCTCGGGTGCTTCTATGCTGAGGATCCTTGCCTTCCAGCTGTGAGCGTCGTCCAAGAGCCCGGTGATGTAGGGAGCGGAGCTGGCAGGGCAATCCGATGTAGTTGAAAGTCGGGGAGGGGCGTTGAGGCCACAGCTCCTTGGCAGGACACACGATCGGTTCAAAGATGCTTGGCTGTTGCGTCTAGTTCGCTGCCTCTCACAAGCCCTGTGTTTGCTCTTCTGTCACTGTGCTTTTGCATCAACGACAGCCTGTTTCTCCGTTGTTGCGATATGATGCAAACGCGCAGAAGGTGTGCATGAGGTTCATGATGTGTTTCGGCTGGTGTGTCGTACAAAAGCTTCTATGCTCGGCATCGCGGATGCACTGCACTGAGACGTATATAGCATCTATAACAGAGGAAGTTGCGAATACAAATAAGTCATGATAGCATGCGCACCATGTGCTGTAATTGACGAGAGTTTGCATGTAACAACACTGACTGACATAACTGCCGTAGAGGAAGCATTGATGTGCAACACTGAGTCGCATACAGCGTCTATATACGATATCATAGACATGAAGACTGGAGTGTTCCAAGACGAGCGGCGTGCCGATTTTACTGTAAGAGACGATGCGATATTTGAGCACGATATCCGCCAAGCACCCTGCTTCGGCCGCGCTGCCCTGTGCGCGACCTTTCCTAACGAGACGTATGTCGCAGTAGCGCCTCGTATAGTCTGTATGTGCGAACCTGTGGATGCGCAGCCTTGGGTCAGACATAGCATCTGCATGGGAAATCATGGGTGACGGCCTATTTCGCGCCTGCCGTCTGCGCGACCCGTTGCAGGCGCATGGAGCAGCAAGGACTGGGGATGGGCACAGCTGAGTCGTGTGGGCCTGCTGCGCATGCATGAAGGACTTGAACCCTGTACTGACATCAAGTGGGATCGACTCCGATGACTACAGGTAGCTTAGGTCTTAGGGCTTGGGGCTTAGGGTTTAGGCTTTAGGGTTCAGGGTTTACGGTTAGGGTTTAGGGTTTAAGTATCAGTGCACTCGAGCCTCCTTGCGCCCTCAAGCCGTGAGCCACGAACTTTAGGCTGGCCGCCTGTCGTTTGCCCAAACTGGGGCATGTTTTGTTTGGGGGGGGGAGAGTGCCTATCACAAAGACGCCAGCTTTTTGGGGAAAAATTCAGGAGGACCCTTATGTGGGGAAATGCGCCCACGATCCTTTGACCTGAGGGCTTGGGTTTTTCAACTTGGGGCGGCCCCCTGGGCTCGCAACTTCCCGATGCGTTGCAAGGAGGCCATGCTTAGAGGGAACACTTGCTGCTATTTTAGGGTTAGGGTTTAGGGTGGTTTACGGTTTAGATCGATAATCCATAGCGATTTTGGCACCAGGTCTCCAGCATAACGATTCTTAGATTCTGGGCCCGGAACAAGTGGAGGCGTTCGGGAAGCAGTTGGAAGTGACACGCTGGAAGAAGGTAGTCCAGCAAGCACCTGAGTCGTCGAAAGATTGCAGATTCTACTGACAAGGGCCGTTACTTCCAATCCAGTCCTACACAAAGGTCATGAGGATTCTTCGCCTCGCAAGGAGTCAGGGCTCAAATAGAACCGACTCGATCTTCAACTGCATACGGGCAGTTCGAGCTAGGGCGGGCTTGGGGCATCACAACTCGCTGAATGGCAAACGTTTCTCCTGTGTGTTCCGGGCTTCTGCGAAAGGCTGAGGATTTTTGCTTGTAAGCCCAATTGCAGGGTTTAGGTCTCGGGAAGCCCAAAATCGCCCGGAAGGATGCCCTACTCCACCACCGACACCAATGCTCCGCTGCCGCCAGAAGGACGCCAAGGGAAACAGCTTCTTTAGATGGGCTCTTGTACCACGAAGCCTAGTGACTCATTGTCACTGAGTGTGAGTAGCCACGGTTCGTCAGCCGAGATTCAGGGACCTTAGACCCAAATTGATTGAATGGCTGCCAGCCCTTTTGGCTTCGGGACAGGAGCGGCTCTTAACTCGATTTGAAACCCTGCCTCTTCTTGCCAACAGCAAGGTTGGATCAGGGTTGCCCTTGCCCCATGTTGAAACCACAGGCCTCCCGCTCGACGTCTAAGACGTCAAGTCATTTGAAGACTGAACTGGAGCCTGAACTCCTTCGCGCAGTGCCACTTCACCGTGCGCTGGCTGGCTGGGGCAGGCACTGGGAGACCCCAGACAGTGGCATGTTCAATGTGGACCCAAAGAACTACAAGCTTAGCCAACCAAGCGAATCCTTGGATGTATTCCTCAGCCACGACTGGGCCTCGAGTGGAAAGCAAAAGTTCTTGGCACTGCTCATCGTTTACAACTCCCGTGCTGCTTTTCTGGCATGCCTTGTTGTCAGCGTCCTTGTGGGAGTGCTGCGTGGCTACAGCGTGCTGCCGGATGAGGGCTGGACCGTGGTACTTGGTCACGGAGCTTATGTGTTGTTTCTGGTTTTCTGGCAGCGCTTGCGGGCTTTCGTCTATCGGCCCGTGATGGCATTCCTAGACAAACTCTGCGTGGCTCAACATGATGAGGAATTGAAGCAGAAAGGCATCAAGGGTATCGCCGCCTTTCTTCTGAGCTCTCGGCAGCTCATGGTTCTTTTGACGCCACGGTACTTCACGCGTCTTTGGTGTGTGCTAGAAATTGCTACGTTCATGAAAGATCCGGGGCGGCAGAGGAGCATCCACTTCATGCCCTTGAAGACAGCTGCTCTGTTGCTTATGACCTCCGGATGTTGGTTTGTTTTGGCCATCGGCTGGAACCTATTTTTGTCCGGAGTTGCCAGACCCGCTGGCCTGGAGCCTTTGGAATCTGGAGAGGTTTGGAGCCGTGCACTGATTTTGACGGGACTGATGGTGCTGCTCACAGGTGCTGTGCTGCCCTTTGCGCTCTACTTGGGCATGGCTCTCGTTGCGGATTTGGAAAGAATCCCCCGTCAATTGGCAAACTTCCGCGTGGAGGACGCGGACTGTTTCTGCTGCTCGAACAACCACCGGCACCCGCACGACGGATCGAGGCTGCCGTGCGACCGGCAGCTGGTGCACAACACCTTGAAGCAATGGTACAATGATGTCGAAAGCACGGCTGACCATTTGGAAACATTCAGCAGGCTGGTCCGTGAGGAGTTGGCTCCCAATATCGCCTTGCTCGTTGGAGGCATCACATTGCCCCTCTACTATGCCGTACTCACCGTCGGTGCGAGCAATCTGCCTTACCTCGCAGATCACATCGCGCTGTGGATAGCCACTGTGCGAGCAGGCGTCTCCGGCTATGCTCTTCTTGTCTGGACTTTGCGGAGGGTCGTTGACTGGGGGACAGTGCCCTTGGCCAGCATGTTGTCTGTGTGGATCTCTCCTCCTGTGTGGAAAGCAGGCCTCCGGCTGCGAAACCGCTGGTGTGCCGTTGCGGTGGCGCAATCCGTCGTTGTTTTTGTAGTTGCCATGGTGTGGGCACCTCTGCAAACCGTCCTCGGCCTCACCCAAGACGATGACTTGCTTCCTGTGGCAGTGTTCCTCTTCTGGCTTGCGTTGATCCTGGCACTCCATTCCCCAAAATGTGGGAAGAAAGTGTTGGCATGGGCTTTGGGTGACAAGCCCTGCGACCCCATGCAAAAAGCGCCGATAGCAGCCAAGGATGACTCTGCTGTGGAGACCACCCTGGAGGCAAAGACAGCGAATGCCGAAGAAGACATGGGTCAAACAGCGGCCACGCAAGAAAAGCTGGCAAAAGCCGATGAAAGCATGCTTTCGGAAGAGATCTTCTCCACGTGATCCTGCATTGTGGGAACGCAGCATGGGGATTGCAGTCCCGTGGGCGAGGTGCGCCAAAGGCGCGCTTTGCGGCATGCTCTGCCTGATGTGCTGCAATAGGCTGATGCAGCAATTGTCCCAGTCCTGCGTTTGCTCAGTTCTGTGTCAATCTTCCCTCCTTTGCAATAAGTATATACTTAGCAACCCCTGAAGCCACAAATGTCGCTTGCGTTGTTGCTATGAGACCAAGGGGCTCTTGAGAAGCTGAGTTGCATGCCTGCGGCGGCAGTGCATTTTCCGGCTGGCAATGTTACATCTTTGTTTTTCCTGTCGGCCTCAGACGATTCTGACAGTTTTGCTCTCCAGAACCGGCAGACTTTCGGACCTGGAAAAGAACCGGCAGCACACCTCAACAAGCACAAATCGTTCTGCAATGTTCTGCATATGCCAGAGGAGCAAGACACCGCAAACCGCCTTATCTTCAAAGACTTGGTTCTAGATCACGGATGCCAAGCAAATCCCCTCCAGGATGCCAAACAGGCCTTGTGGACGTGGGCTGCCATTGGCCTAGGCCACTTGGATCAGTGCCGTAAAACCTAAGAGCTGAGGGATGATAAAGGTTAGGGTTTACGGTTTAGGGTTTAGGGTTTAGGGGTTAAGGGTGCTTGCTGAAGGGTCTCGGTTCTGTTGTTTCCATGTGACATGTTACATGCGTATAACAGGCAAGTACAGCCGTCATTGACATTGTGGTGTCTGCTGCTACTAGTAGCACGACTATATCGCATCTACATGCTTGTACTATAAAAAGGCAATAGTATGTGTATATACACACATGCACACAACCCCACCCCCTGATGTACCCACATTTCTTGCGTTGTTGCATGGATGGGACTCTATCTGGGAATTATCTTCTGCCCCTGGACTCATGTGGGAGTTGTTCTATTGTATGGCCCTGTTCTTTGGCTTCCTTCTTTTGTAAGGAATATACTATAGCCAGAAAGTCAGGAGCCAGAAAGTCAGGAGAGTAAAGTAGAACAACTCCCCATTTGTTGTTTCTGGTCCTGGATGTTGAAGGTACGATGTTTAAGTCCAGGCCATGTCCCAGCAGGTCTTGTAAGTGTAGTACACCAGGCATATCAGTGACATAGCAACATCGTTTGTAGAACACAGTCTTGCAAAAAAGCACGGTGTAAAGTCCAGGATGCTCGGGGCGGGTTAAGGCTGTGGCGGCTGTGGATATGGCTTGATTCTTCATGGCTGAAGAGCCGAAGGGTGGAGGAAGTTTTTGTAAGGACTTTGTGGTGGGGACCCCTAAACCCCAAGCCCGGAAAGCTGCGGATCGACTTGAGCAAGTGCAAGGGTCCGAAGATCAGAAGATGGGTGACGGAATAAATTTTCGATTCATATCATTGGATAGAATATTATCTGATGATTTTGAGAATATGAATCTCTTTTCATTGGTTCTTTTGGATGAATGAATCGATCATATTCGTATTAAAGATTCGAATATATCTTGGTAAGGAATATCCCTATAAAAGGCTACGGGCTCGACCCCTATTTTCGCTCTGCGGCCACCCCGTCGGATGCCCCGCCTCTTCTTCCGGTCCATTTGGCTGCTTGTGAGGGCCTTGCAGGGGGATCCTGAAAATTCCGGGAATTTTAACACTTTTTGTCTAAAAATCCTGGGAATTTGGGGAATCACCCGGAGCTGAAAATTCCCGGAATTTTAGGAATTATCCGGATTGAGGTTTGGGCTTGCCGGGTTGGATTTAAGGTGCCAGCGCAACAGTGATGACGTGGGTGCCCCTTCACCTTCAAGGAAATCTCTTGGTCCAGGGTAGTTCCGATGACGGTCGCCGCCCGCCAGCTGTGTAAGGGGGTTCGGCCTCACGATCACATATCAGCAACAGCTCTCGAAAAACCCTAGGAATTTGAATTCCGGGAATTTTCGGGATCCCCCGGGTTCAGGGTTTTACGCTTTACGGTGTAGGGTTTTGGGGTTTAATAGAAATTGTATAGGGTTTGTGTCCGGAGTTTTGTCGTGTTTTGGGGGGGTTTTGTTTTTTGCTTTTGCTGTAATGGTTTGGGTTCTGTCGGGTGTGGTGGGGGGTGGGTGGTTTTGGGGTGCTGAGGGGTTGGGTGCTGAAAGGCTGGGGTTTTGGGGGGTTTTCCCGAATGCCCGTGGTGGTGGTCCCGTGGTGGTGGTCCGTGGTCCCGTGGTGTTCGTCGTGGTGGTCCCCAGCGTGGTGGTGGTCCCGTGGTGGTGGTGCTCCTTTGGTAGTGGTGGTCTGTCGTGGTGGTGGCGGTGTCCGTGGTGAAGGTGGTGGTGGTGGTGGTGGTGGTGGTCCCTGGTGGCCGTCGTGGTGGTCCCGTGGTGGTGGTCCCATGGTGGTGGCCGGGTGGCGGTGGTCCGTGGCGGTGGTCCGCGGTGGTGGTCTCGTGGTGGTTGTTCCGTGGTGGTGGTCCTGTGGTGGTTGTCTCGTGGTGGTGGTCCCGCGGTGGTGGTCCCGTGGTGGTGGTCCCGTGGTGGTGGTCCGTGGTGGTTGGTCCGTGGTGGTGGTCCGTGGCGGGGGTCCGTGCGGGTGGTTGTGTTGGTGGTCGTGGTGGTGGTCTCGTGGTGGTGGTCTTGTGGTGGTGGTCTCGTGGTGGTGGTCTCGTGGTGGTCCGTGGTGTGGGATCTTCTTTTCAGGAATGCTTGGGTCATTTGAATTTCGATTCATAGAGGGGATTCTATAGGGCCATCGAAATCCAATGTCTTGATACCATCGCAATATTCTTGGATCTATAAGAATGACTTTGGAATTTTCTTTTCATTCGAATTCTTTGTAGGATATCTTTCGCGTAGGATTATGGATCGAATCTATTTCTTGAATAATGATGGATATTATTGGAGGAAATTGAAATCCTATTTCGTCTCATCAGAATATTTTTTGAATCGGTGGTTCGTCTCACTTTTGATTATTTGTATTTAGGAATCTTCGATTATTCTTATTCTTTTTTCGTCTTTATGGGATGATTTGTAATTGGGGGTGATGACGGATTTTTAAGCACGTCGAGGCATCTTGGAGAATTCGAAATTCATCTTGCTCTCGTGGATGAGGATTGATTCCCTTTCATTTGATAAGCGCACATAACCCTTGGATGATGAATTTCATTTATAGAATAAATTTCCGGATTCGA